GGTATGGAAAAAAAAATTTCTTTTTGTTTAAAATTCAGTTGTAGGAAAACTCCCCATCATTTTGATTTGGCTAAATTAAAACATAAAATTAGACCACTTCTAACTACTACTACTAAAAATAATAAGAATAATAATTTATTTATATATATATATATATATATATATATATATACATGGGTGTCAAAATCATACGATTTACGATTCAAATTGTTGAATAACTCGTAAATTTTAAAAAAAACGTCGGATTTACATTCGATTTGGAGGCCTTTTCGGTTCGAGGCAATGTGGGCATGTAGGAATGACTGCGAGGAGATTGTGCAACGTGTGTGGGACTCGGCGGACAGACTGGATGATATCACGGAACTGCTGCAACAGATGACTGACCGTAAAATGGCACTGATGCAACAGAACAAGCCTACGGTTAATGCACCCGATAAAGAAATCAAAGTGGTTACGCAGCAAATTAATGAGCTTAGAGGAATGAGAAAGTCGACGGCGATCAGGGACGAGTGTTGCGAGCTCCACGGCCGCTTGGAGAAGTTGATCGGTGATAAAGATATGTACTGGAGTAAAATTCCAGGCACAAGTTCAAAACACATTCAAATACAAATAATCCATAATACAAACATGATACAACACGTTACGTGTAGATATAATTACAACTATATATTTGACGCATGTACCATATGCTTTTTACGTGGTACCATCAAAATCAACGAAGAGTTCCGATCGGCTTTTTGTACGTGTACCACTTTGCCACGAGAAGAAACACCCCGAGATTCAGCACACTCAGCACCGCCAACAACCAGTAAAAATAATGGAGGTGGCCGTAGTTAAGATTATCCGGTATCCACCCCAATTTCCCGTTCCGAGTACTAACTTTGGTAACTATGGTCACAAGCAAAGTACTCAAATAACTGCCAAGCGCCACAGTCGTGAGCTGAAGAGCAGAGCACAAGCTCCTCATCGCATCGGGTGCTTGCTCGTAAAAAAACTCGAGCTGTCCAATAAACATGAACACTTCTGCACATCCTATAATGAAGTAATGAGGCACCTGCCAGAAAATAGACATTGGTATCTGTTCGAGTTCGTAGTAGTTGTGCCGTTTTACGTATCTGAGCCGAACGAGTTCGAGTATTCCAGCCGAGAGCATCGAGAAAATGGAGATGAAAAGACCGGTCCCCATTCTTTGGAGCTGAGTGAGTCCGTTCTTGTGGCCGGTGAACTTTCTTGCAAACGGGACTATGACTCTGTCATAAATGGGTACCCAGAAGATGACGCTGAGTGTGTCGAATATGCTGAGAGATGCTGCCGGGATTTCGAAGCTGGATTTGCCTAAGTGGGCGTCCATCGTTAGACCTTGTAGTACGAATAACGTGCCCATTTGGCCGTAGACCGTTGCGAAAATTATCCCGGTTGCCCATATGGGAAGGAGTCGTATGATGGCTTTGAGTTCCTCCACTTGGGTTACCGTGCAGAGCTTCCATGGATTAATTGGAGCTTTTTTGACGTCCGGTTGTGTGTCTACTGCAGCTTTGTCGAAGAATCTGCATTGCCCAGCCAGAGATAAATTTACTCACTTAAAAACATAGATGCTTCATTAGCAATTATCCCGGAAAAAAAAAAAACAATAACCAACGAGAAACGTAAGCATGTTAGTAAAAAAATATTTACGCAAGATTGTTAGTGTGTTCAATCTTGCGGCTCCCTTTGATCGCAGACTCCGCATCGAGGGTTTCATACAAGAGAGATTTGTCGGCAGGAACTTGAACATTATACTTCCTGAAAGACGCAATCACAACTTGACATATCCTCGTGAGAGGACTCCCCCCCGGTTTCTGATTGCGGTACAATCTAGTCCCCGAAAAGAAAAACACGACAGCTATTGCCATTGCGACAGCTGGAATTCCGAAACCCCACTGCCAGCCTACATGCATTTGGATATACACAAGAACGGAAGCAGCAATTAGTGCACCGATGTTTATTACGAAGTAGAACCAATTAAAGAAAGAACTCTTGTGGTTCTTTTCTAACTCGTCCGTGTCGTCAAACTGGTCCGCCCCGAATGAGGAGACGCAGGGTTTGATACCGCCGGTTCCGAGGGCGATTAGGTAAAGTGCCACGAAACAAACTGCGGCTTGTCCGCTTGTTGCGTGGCATGTGTTTTTATCGATGCAGGTCGGTTTTAGGCCGGGGATTGATGCTGATAATGTCAACAGTGTCATTCCCTGAAATAATATTGCAAATATTCAGATTCGTTTCTCGAATTTTGTTTCGATGAGAAACTTACAAGTGTTTCATATTACATCTCATGTAACAAGGATTTCTCGAATAAGAGTGGTTTCATTAAAACAATGACTGCGGGAGTGACAACAAAAACGATATCCTTTCGAGTTTCATTCAAGATTATTCAAATTCATGCAACTCAAATCAAACAAGTAAGCAAACTGGATGAAATTCCTCAGCTAACTTGTTCATTTAATATATGGGTACTACCCTGAGGCAATGTCAAATTACGAAAAAAAAATCTCATGTCTGGGTAATTACAACAACCCCTCAACTATGAATCTTCTTACACGTCCACCCTTATGGTGTCAAATTCAATAGAAATTTCTAGATTCCGTGGAATATTCTCTAGTTTGTACTCGTTTTGTACAAAAATACAGTTTCTGATGCAGCATAATCTAATATTTACAAAATATCAAGCCAAGAGACGCATTTTATGATCATCTTGTTTCAAAATGTGGAGGAGCTCAAACAGGGTAAAACGGGTACAAACTGAAGAATATTCCATATAATCTAAAAGATTCCACTAAATTTGACAACCGCAATGATGGACGTGCAAGAAGATTCATAGTTTAGGGGTGGTTGTAATTACTCAAACAGGAGGGATTTTTTCGTAATTTAACCCTACCTCAAGGATTGCCGTAATTTACCCTTTAACATATATATAGCAGGTTCATAGCAGTTCATAGCAAAACAGAGAAAACTTACAATGACATAAAGGATTGAGAAAGAAGCAATTGTCCAATATCTTCCGAGATATGCATCGGCGACAAAGGCTCCGATAAGCGGTGTGATGTAGCAAGTACCCGCCCAATTGGAGACATTGTTCGAAGCAGTGGTGCTGTGTTGGTTCAGCCTCTCCTTGAAATAAACAACCAGATTCGAACTCATCCCGTAGAACGCCAATCTTTCGCAGCACTCGTTCCCTTTCATCACAAACACATTCAACAAACATATTCAATCACTAACCGCAAAATCCTACTCCCCGAATACCATAAATCCAAATACCGTAATCAGACCATCGAATGCCCATCTCAACCAAAAGTTTAAGCTATTAGTGAAACATATTATTTAATATTAATATCTTCAATACAGACAACATAATATATCGGGAAAAAATACCTAAAATGTAAGGACAGGCTTTCCATGTTCCAGTTCGAGTCTTGTTTGCAGGGTTGTTTTGGTAATCTACAGTCCCATCCTTAGTGTATAAATCATCTTCCTCCGCCATAGCTTCAATACCAATATGCACTGATATCAGTTACCTAACTATATATCTTTTGGTGTATGTATTCTCTCACTCCACACCCCTGAATCTGCAATATGTTGTTAAAATCAAGAATTTCTTAATCAAGAGAGAGAGAGAGAGACGGATAAATAACAAACGGACAATAAGAAAAGGTCCAAGAAAAGAGAATTAACAATCTTGCCGAACACAGAATCTCTATTAACTAAATGACCCAATAAAAAAATGAATCGGCAACAAGCTGTTACAGCGAAAAATGACAAGAAAGAAGATATTACCACAGACCCAGACCAAAATTAAGAATTATCTTAATATGAAGAGAGAACAAGGTGTTGTCTGGCAGGCAGCACTTTGATGAGAGAGAGAAGCTAGAGAGAGAGAGAGAGAGTGTACAATTTTGAGTTGATAATACTCAGAGCAGTTGACTTGTTTGAAGAAATGACCGAGAGAAAGGATTTGTAAGTAGTCAACAAAAGCATGTAAATAAATGTCATGGGAAGTGTGGAAAGGAGAAACCAAAGGCACTCCTCACCAGCTGGAGCGTTTGTCTGAATCTTTTTTTGGTGGGGCCCAGCCGGCGATGTTTCTTTATCATTATTTATTACACATTACATCAATTTGCTTTTGAGTCAATGTAAACAACAAAGTCTTGCCCATGATTGATAATACCATGGAATATTAGCTTATGTATCTCTAAGAGCATCATTTTAGTAGTTTAAAATGGGGTCCACATGCATCAATTTCAATTTATTCACTAACTCAAAGATGGAATCCACTTTTATTCCTCCCTAAATTAAAAAATCTCTAATCTCCCTACAAATTTGTCCATGTATATTAAATTACTGCTTTGATTTTTTCCATCATTAATACACTTTTCGTATTCTCTTTCCAAGTCATTCTGCAAAGACAAACAAGTAACCATAAATTAAACAAAAAATTGAACAGCATAACAACTATTGTATGGATATACCAAAATAAAACATCAATACGTATACAAAACACATAATTGAGAGACTTTATAGTTTAAATGTAAACTGAAAATAGGAGTTATAACATGAATGTATAACTAGTATTCGCAATATGGGTAGAAACACCTTGTAAACTGAAAGGATCAATTGTAACATGAATACATAACTAGTATTTAATTTGTATAACATCATTCAAGTTCGCCTATAGATGAATGATGGTAAAATACCACGTACCATCCATGATGCACCGAAAGTATCCTGTAATTTTCGATACAATAACAGTATAAAAAATATCAATACTATAAAATACGGTTGGTACACGGTATTGAGTCAAAGTTTTTGCAACTGTATCACATACACGCCTAATTTATAGCACTATGAAGTTAAAAATTAGGGGTAATATGAGAGAGCACCTCAAATTAAACTATAATCAATATAAGTCACAACCATAAATTGAATGTTCTAAGCCCATATTTTAGAAAAAAAAAATGGACACACCCCCCTTGAGAATATGATAAACTCATTATACCCTTGTTCTCTTCTCTTCTTTATCGTTTTGTATTTATCTTCTCATTTTTAATAGGTTTTATGTCACATTTATCTCCTCTCTCTCTCATGTCCCTTTGGTGCTTTCTCTTTGGTGTTTAGATTTCTTGGTTGTTTCAATATGTCTCCCACATCACTTTGTTTTTGCGACGAAAGCTTTGATTTGGTGGATATAATCTCGGTCGCGGCTTCTACTTTTCAATGACGGCGTTGAGCAATTCATTTGCTCCATCCGTCAAATGTAAAGATATATCTAGTGTTTTCTTGGTCCTTACAAGATTTTCACTTGGTTTGGATCTGATTTGCTACTATTTTCAACATGTTACAGGTCACTGGCCACGTTCTTAGGCTGCTCGGACTGCCTGGAAGCGCGCCCTAGGGTTCTAAACGACAGATCTAGGTTTTCCAAAAGGGGTAGATGACTGTGGTTGTTTGTAGTTGACTATAGTTGTCTATGGTTGACTATAGTTGTCTGGCGGGGCGCGTTAAGGTTCTAGGGTGAATATAGATGCTATACCTGGTTATTTATACTAAGTGAATTTGAACCATAGTAGATATACACATAATCACACACACTCATGTGTATTGTGCTTTATGGCCTATGGGTGATTATTTAATCAAATCTACGATTCAAATCCACCATGTGTAAATATTCAGGTGTAAAATCTAACTCCCCGCAAAACCTATACCCATTGCCATTCCTAGGAACCACATGAAACTCTATGCAACAGCCGGTTATTAACACCGGATGATTGTTAGCCGTAGAACTACACAAAATCACACACACTCATGTGTATGTGTGCTTACTAGATGGTTATTTAACCTCATGTACGATTAACAAATGCCCGATGTAGCATATAACTTCCCCTGAACCACGGTGAAAGAAGGATAATTACGAGGTTCTTTATTTGTTTTTTACATCAAGGGATGCAAAGCAATGACGGCATTATATTGTTCAATACAAAGATGAAATGAAACACCAAGAATTTTGATAGAGTTGCACCAAGTTTTATATTTACAAAGAAAACATCTTATTTCATAATACCTAAATTATGTAGTTCATTACCCAGCCATACTTTCCAACCAACAACCAAAACATAATTCCAATTGTCACAAATTAATAATTTACAAAATGAAATTCGAAGAAACTTTCCTTAATTCATAATTGTCAAACTTGTCTTCTTTTCAATAATCAGCGCAGAGTCCCGACAGCCTTCTTGTAAGTATACCTCTTCGCTGCCACAACATAAGCTCCCAAGTTGATCAAACTCAAAACAGCCAAAAGCCAGAAGAAATAATGGAGTTTTCCATGGTTCAAGTTATCGGCTATCCACCCGGGCTTACCGTTCCTAGTACTAACTTCCGTCACAATAGTCACCAAAAAAGCGCTCAAGTAATTCCCGAGCGCAGTCGTTGTCAGCGACAAAGCCGCGCACAAACTCCTCATCGAATCCGGCGCCTGCTCGTAAAAAAACTCAATCTGCCCTATGTACATAAACACCTCCGCGCAGCCAATAATGAAGTACTGCGGAACCTGCCAGAACACGGATATCGGCGCCTCTTTCACGTCGTAGCTATCGTGCCTTTTCACTATATTGAGCCTAACTATCTCCAATACTGCGGCGGACACCATCGCGAAGATCGATATGAAGAGGCCTATTCCCATGCGCTGGAGCTGAGTGAGCCCGTTTTTGTGGCCGGTGAATTTTCTGGTGATCGGGATTATGAGTTGGTCGTAGATCGGTACCCAGACAATGACGCTGAGTGTGTCGAAAATGCTGAGGGAGGCTTCGGGGATTTTGAAGGTGGTGTTGCCTAATCGGGTGTTCATGTACTCTGCTTGGAGTAGGAATAAGTTGCCCATTTGGCCGTAGACCGCGCTGAATATTATGCCGGTTGCCCAAACGGGGAGCAATTTTATGATCGCTTTTAGCTCCTCTACTTGTGTCACTGTGCACAGCCTCCATGGATTTATTGATTCTTTGTTGTAGTCCGATTGTACCTCGACTGCTGCCTTGTCGAAAAAACTGAGGATTTCGTAATGTTAGTTGTACTCAAGAATCATGGCTATCAGAAAATCATTCGAATATATAAAACGAAATGAAAAATAGCATGCGTTATTCGCTTCTTTTGGAATAAAATTCAAGAATTTATTGCATTTAGTAACCATGTGTTATATCGAATTACTAGAATAAAATCCTCCAATAATAAAATATTGTTAGCGCACAACCCCTAAATGGTGAGTTTTTAGAAAGAAATTGCTAATAAAATTGTAACAAGGGGATTTTTGCTAATATTTATAACACGAGAACATTTGTAACAATTAGAGTAAACACAAGGGTGTTGATTATATTGTAACAAACCCAAAAAGTAAAACTTCTCACTACGGTATTGAATTCATGAAGGAATTACAAGTAGTGATTTCAACCGGGGGTGGGAATTGGCCTAGACCGATCGGATCGAAATAAGCAAGTCCGGAAAAATTCAGATTGTTTTCTGAAGTAAAAAAATAAGTCCAATTCAGTTTGAAAAAAAATCGGAAACTGGAACGTAACAATCCGTTCCAAAATTGGAAATTTTTGGATTGCTATAGCGGGATTTGGAAGATGCATAATAATATTCATATTATAAGTGCAATTTTCGGAAAAAAAAAAAAAAAAGGAATTTTTGGAATTATTTTTGAAAACTAAAATCAGATTGGATTTTTTCAATTTGGAATGTAAAGTAATTTTGTTCCAAAATCGGAAAAATTCGGACCAGAATGAATATCGAAAACTCCATTCCAATTTTCACCTAGTTGCGACCTTGTGAAATGATTTCTATACCAATTTTGTTTTTACACACACACACACACATATATATATATATACACATATATATATATATATATATATATATATATATATATATATATATATATATATATATATATATATATATATATATGAAATGCTAAATCTCACACTAAAATTAAATTACTGAATCACGCATACAATTAATTTTTTTTATCTCTCTGAATTTCTCTACCCAAAATTTGTTTCTCTTATATATATATATATATATATATATATATATATATATATATATATTATAGTAATGCCCATTAATTAAGTTATAACTAACTCAAGCATCAATTGGTTCATGCAATTATATTTACTAAATTTCAACAAAATCAGCCACACATACCGGAATTCAGTTGTATGGTCAAGTTTGCGGCTGCCAACGATAGCAGCAGCCTCCGCATCAGAAGTCTCGAACAAAAGAGACTTATCCTCCGGCACCGCAACGCGTCGTTTCCTCAAAGAAGCCACCACCACCTGGCACAGTCGGGTGAGTGGGCTGCCACCCGGTTTCTGATTACGATACAAACGCGTGCCCGAGAAGAAAAACCCAACGGCCACAGCCATAGCCACCGCAGGCACGCCGAACCCCCATCCCCAGCCGATGTTCACTTGGATCCACACGAGGACCGAAGATGCAACGAGCGCACCGATGTTGATTGAAAAGTAGAACCAATTGAAGAAAGAGCTCTTGTGCCCCTTTTCAACCTCATCTGCATCGTCGAATTGATCGGCACCGTATGAGGAAACGCACGGCTTGATGCCGCCGGTTCCGAATGCCACAAGGTACAATGCGACGTAACACACTGCAATTTGGGGATTGGTTGCAGTGCATTCGTCTTTCTTGTGACACGTCGGCCTCAGGCCCGGGACTGAGGCCGATAGTGTCAATAGTGTCATTCCCTAACGAAATAGAACAAAATGCGTATAAGAAAATATATTAAGACAATAAAATCAACTAAGATAAGATTAAACAATTTTATAAAAACCACCATTATATTTTTAGATCATAGGAGGTTCGATAAATAATTTGCAAATAATCAAGATCAAGGCTATTTGTTCCACAATTTCAGGCCGGCTGAAAAAACTTAAGATTAAATTACAAAAGTCAGTAGAATCCCATCAGGTATTCATAATTACCAAAAAGTCCCTCTAACGGTTGACCATGATTCTTAGAAGAAAAATGTGTAAAGTTTATAATGCCCTTAATTTAAATAAAATTTTAAAAATTTGTAAAATTACCAAAAACCCCTCCAGTATCGTTAGTTAGTAAATGAATATTACAGTTTACCACTTCATGAAATAATATTATTACAGTTACCCTGAGGGTAAAATCAGTATTTTTGAGGAATATTCCATGAATTAAAAAAGATTCCATCAAATTTCACACCGTAAGGTGACGGTTTAAGAAGACAACAAACTTTAGTGGGTTTTTTTTATTGATAATTATGAATACGTGAAGGGTATTTTTGTAATTTAACAAACGTTCAGGGTGTTTCTCGTAATTTACCCATTATTTAGTCAATCATGCCCAATGTTACCGTACCATCCAGACGAGGCCTTAGGATCGGAAAACATACCATGACATAGATGATAGAGAAGCTGGCAATAGTCCGGTATCGTCCGAGATATGCATCGGCAAGAAATGCTCCGAGCAACGGCGTGACATAGCAAGTACCCGACCAAATCGACAGATTTTTCGAAGCAGAAGCACTGTGTTGATTAAGCTGATTGGTGAAATAAAGCAAGAGATTCGAGCTCATTCCATAGTAGGCCAATCTTTCGCAACATTCGTTTCCTGCATGCAAACAGAGAAATCACAATTTCAAGAAATTGGAACGTACATATAATTATCGGAAATTTTATGAGAACTTTCCCGAAAAGACAAATAATAGGTACCAAGAATAAAGGGGCAGGCCTTCCAAGTTCCCGTTTTATTCCTATCGGCGGGATCGTTCTTGTAGTCCACCGTCCCGTCTTTCGTGTAGTTATCCTCCTCTGCCATTATCACTTCAAGAACCACCGTTTATGCGTATGTATATATGAAGTAATTATATAAAGCCCTGGCAATAATGGAACAACTGTTTGTTAGCAACACGAGCAAATTATTAGTTCGAAACCAAAAAGTCGTAGAATTACTATAAAAAGGAAAGACAAGTAGGTGTGGTAATACATAAATAGAAATTTTTGCTAGCTTAGATGCCATGCCATATTCTGTTGAAAGGAATATACAATATAGGCTTTTTTAGTTGCATACGACAGCTGCGATACAAGTTGCACTGAAAGTTACACGGCTTACATCTTATTATTTATTCGAGGATTGCGTGTAATGTTTCGATCGAATTTGCTCTATTATTGAAATAATTGACCAGCATAAGTTACTCCCTCGGCAAAAAAAATTTATTTGTCATTTTTCCAATTTGGGTTCTTATATTATTTGTCATTATAAGAGTTTCGATACGTCCTTGATATATTTTTAACTATTTTTTTTTTATCATTTATTGTTATTATTGTATAGAGAGAAATATATTGATGGGGCTAAAGATAGGTTCACCTATCAATTTGTGTCTAGTGATAATGATTGTATGAAGGGTTGGGGAAATATAATGTTGAGTTTCTATTAAAAATATTGGCTATTTAACCATTGTTTTTAGTCAATGTGCATAAACATTCGGATTGAATTTAAGGGATTTGATTTGGAGAGAGGGTTTTTCGAAATGAAGGAAGTATTATCCTCCCCGGAAACAAAAGAACATAGTGTTATTATACGAGAATATAGATTAAACCAGTGCACATATATGATTGACTGCTCCTTCATTACCAAAAAAAAAATAATAATAATAATACTTTTGTCCCTTTTGAAAAAATAAAAAAGAAAAAGAAAAGCTTTCTTCCTTTTTCTTAACCTAGAATTCAACAACCAAAACATATATATCGTTTTGTAGATTATATAGATCTCATGAAAATCATAAAGTATATGAATGAAAATACTAATTATAAAAAATAAAAATATCTTCTTCGTTTCCTCTAAAATCTCTAAAGCATAAAAGATCTTTCGAAAAGCTCGAAAACAAGAAGAAGAAAAAACTAACCTTAATTCATTTCTTGAGTTTTGTTCACTGCAAGACTTTCTTATCAATTTATATATACGAAGAAATGGTTTGAACTTTGAATGTAGACAAAAATTTCAATCACCCGTATATGTGGTAAAGTGACTATTAATAGTCAAAATTCTGAATAATCCCTTGTAATAAATAGGAGTTGATTTTGTGTAATCTTATTTTTAATGCAAAACAACGTACGCAGTTAATGAGACTATGACATTTTTGTTAACATGATTTTGTATTCATATATAGATCTATTACTTGTTTTAATTATATTACAGAAATATATATCTACCAAGTTTGACCAACTTGCAAAAAGTTGGGAGTATTCTAATTCTCCTCGTTTTCTGTCCTGGTTCGGTATGGTTAGTTTAAGGTTATATTAAGAGATTAAATTCTGAGTGAATCGGTCTATATTTAATATAAATCGAATTCCATCAATTTTTTGACATGTGCCACTCTTTAGTTTTAACTCTTAATAAATCACGCTGATTATAATTAGGGTTGGAGGGTTTATGGGTTCTGCTGAGTTTTCCTTTTCCTTTTTTTCTTTTCAATATTAGAATCTAATTATATTTTTATTTAAACTATTCACGTGTAAATCATCCTATGATATCCGATTTTCCTATTAAAACAGACAATCCGATCTAATTTTGCACCCTTAAATTAAATATATATTTTCATGTTTGACCAAATTGTATCAAGTTGGTTTGTAATTCTCCTCATTTCCCATACTGGTTTGGTATGGCTAGTTATATATGGGATTTATTATTATATCCTACACATGATCAATTTTACATTATAATAACGGGTTATTTGATAAACATCCCTATTGAAATTTGACTTCCTTTTTCATAAATTATTTATTTGTAACTGATATTTAACTTAAATCCAATGGACTTAAAAAATTATATATATCCCCATTAATAAGTATAATTATTTAAAATAAAAAATACGGTAAATTGATGCAAAAATATCTCTCAAAATCAAATTACCGAAATATCCTCCCAATAATTATCCCCCAAATCACGCTCGAAATCCACTTCGGCATCATCGTTGTCCTTTGTTTTCAGCAGTCTCATCCAAACAATGGATACTGTTCTTGGTAAAATCTGAGAACATAAACGAAAACCGTTATTTTTTCTTTTTTGGTGTTTTTGAAATTGCAAAATGGTATGTGGTTTTGAAGTCTGCACGCATCCTAAATATATTATTTGGTTTATGGGTTTTTTTAAACCACTTAATGCTATGAGTTTTGAAATACTTAATGATGTGTAGATTGTTATGTAGTTTGCAGGGTTTATACTATGTTACATCGAGTGAAATATACCGGGTAGATCTTTACTGTTTATATACACACAAACACATATACACTAACATTGGTGTGTGTAGATCAACGGTAAAAAATCACCCGGTGTAACATTCACCGGGTGTAGGATAGAAATAACCTAGTTTGCAGCTGTGTGGGTTGTTTTGTTGCTTGTATTAATGTTAATTGGTGGGGTGTATGGATATACACTAGTAGAAAATTTACTTTTTATTACGAAATTTTTTGCTACTATCAAAAGTCGTAACAAAAGAGACTTTTTATTGCCGGACAATTTTGAAGTCGTAGTAAATATTAGGATTTACCGTAGCAAAAAAGTATTTGGTATGGCCATTTGTCGTAGCAAAGGTTTTGTCACGCTCGTATATACTACGGGGCAAATTCTTAGCAAATGCATAGCAAAAGTTTTTTTACTACGAATTTGATACCTTTTGGTATGGTTAATGATCGTAGTAAAAAGTCATTTTTTCTATATTATAGTATATATGCACAATAAAATCTGCACATATGCATAAAATATTATGTGGTGTATGGAATCTTTTGTAAACCACATAAATGTGGTTTACACACAATGTGGTGGTGTTGCTACTTGTTGAGTGTGTATTTTACAATCAATGTATACTTTCTTACGATGACTTTTGTATACTCTTATTGATTTAATGTTGCTTAATGAGTGGTTCCTTGTATTTTAGGTACAACATGACGATTTGGAAGTTTCAAGGACGAAACGAGCCAAAAAAAAAGGTCAAAAACGGGCAAAAACGGAAGAAAACAAAATTTGCTGAAAAATGCCCGCGCGGCCGTGCCAAATTTAGCCTATTTTTGGCACGGCCGTGCCAACTGCAGAAGTTGGGTAGTTTCGGCGATTCTCGTGCGGCCGTGTGAGATTTTGACTGATTTTCGCACGGCCGCACCAAAACACGCTAGAGACAATTTTGGACTTTTAATCACACAAGGAAATCTAGAATCATCTACCAAGTTGGGACATCTATTTAAGGGCAAACCAAGTACGAATTAAAGAACTTTTTTAATACAAAGCGAGAGGAGCGAGAGAACGAAGAATCGAAGACGGAGAATTGACAAATCTTCATCACAATTCTTCCTTTATCTATCTTTTCTTAATCTATGTCTTTTTATATTTTTATTATGTTTTTCGTAGAGAACATGAGTAGCTAAGTTTTTAATCTAGGATTTTGTTGGAACCCTATGTGGGGATGGTGAACTCGTTTTCTTGAGATTATGCAATTATGATTTTATGATTATTTCTTCTACTTGTTATGATTGTTAGTGCATGAACCTGACCAATTTATGTGCTTTATCTGTGATTGTTGAGATTGACTCGACAGAGCTATTTTGATAATTAGACGGTAAGTATAAAAACCTTCGAGTAGTTTTCACTGGATGAGTGTGTCAATTGCATGTGGTGTCGTAGACATACATATATCACCTTAGGTAGCTATTTACGGGACTTGTTAGTTAATGCTTTATTCATAATTTGTTTGCATAGACATATAGTGAACCGTTTATGAATAATAGACTTATAATACAGTTTATGAATAATAGACTTATAATACACGCGACAGCGGGTTATAAGTAAATTAGTGTCTCCGGTTAATAATCATGAATCATATATTTCATAATTGAGGGGTTTTGGGTGAGCAATTCTTGCATAGGGGGAAGATAAAACCCTAGGTCCGTTTTTATTGATATTTTCTCGTGTTTATTTGCTTTCATAATTAGTTTAATTATTTAGTTGAATAAATTGACAAACTTGCGTAGGCTGGATAAAAATCATAGTTGGTAGAATTTGGTACTTAGGATTAGGTAATTTGAGTATTCCCTGTGGGATCGACATCCGACTCTCACGAGTACACTTTTACTATTTGTTTGTGATACGTGCACTTGTGTGTTAGGTATTTAGCCCCAACTAGTTTTTGGCGCCGTTGCCGGGGAACACGGCTAAATTATCTATTTATCCTAATATTAAATTTGAGCAACTTTTCTTACTTCAGTCGTTTTGTTTATTTTATTTTATTATTTTATTTGTTTATTTTATTTTTATTATTTTTGTGTTAGGTACTTTTTATGCGAAGAGGACACGACACGAACTTGTTACCTCTTGATCCCGAAATTGAGCGAACATTTAGGCACGCCAGGAGAAATCAACGGTTAGCTCAAAACGTTCCCGCAACAATGGAAGAAGAGATTAATCGTAGGGGAGATGACCAAGGGCGCCTACCAAATGCAGCAGGAAATAGCGCACTGCCCAAAGTTCTCGTGTCTGCCCGACGATGGGTTACCGCCCGATCTTCGTTTATTGATGATTGAGGATTGTGCCACCACGCTAAAAGAGCAGTTACGCGATAAACAAGGTGACGAGTGGCTGAAAGTTGCTCATGTGCCTCGCCTGTTTCTCATTTCAACAACTTTTTTTATTTAATTCATACTTCATTGGTTATAATAATTTATGTAAGGGCATCGATTTCTTCTTCTTCTTCTTACTTCTTTTGTTAGTGTTATCGTTCGAGTTGGGTCTTACTTCATTAGTTATTAAGAAGCAATTTTTTTTTTATGTATTCAAGTTTTATTGCAGGTACGGCGACAATTGAAGTTTCATTCAAGGATTGTTGTACAAGCTGCCCGAAATATCCCCGAGCATAGTGTTGAACGCTTCGTAATATAATTTTATCGTATCAACATTCAAGAACATTAGATTCGGCCCTTCTCAGAATTTTAATGTTTATTATT